AGTGTGCCTCTTGTGCAGCCATCACTCATCTGTCAGTGAAGGCTTGTATGTTGCCGTGGTGCCGAACAGGTTTCAGCAGAGCTTCCAGGTGAGGACATACTAGGAAGAAAGACCTGGTGATCTGCCAGTCCAGTGTGCGCCCAATTATGGGCATGGCACAGAGCTGAGCAGTGTTTCATCCCATTGTGTATGAGGTCATCATGTATTGGGGGCCAACTTGATGGCAGCTAACAACATACCCATAACAGTTGTGTTTTAGACTTAAATGAGGAAACACATGTACATTGTTAAGAATGATGCCTAGAACCTAGTTCTTGTTGTTGTTATGTGCCGTTGAGTCAGACCCGACTTACAGTGACCCCTCCTTGGGTTTCCGAGGCAGTATCACTACAGATGTAGATTGCCCCATCTTCCTTCCAAGGAGTGGGTGGTAGGTTTGAACCACCAGCCTTCTGGTTAGCAGTCAAGTACCTTAGGCACTATGCTACCAGAGCTCCTTAGAACCTAGTAGGTACTCAATAAACTTTAACTGGGGGGAAAAAAAAGTCAGGCTCCATCCTGGAAGTGACATGTTTCATATTCCATATTTTTTTGCCTTAACAAGCAAACCGCCTGGTTTATAGGGAAGAAAGCTTAGGGATGAGTGGGAAGAGAAGAGAGGCTACTGGGTCTTAGTGCTCCTAGGTATTGGGATTCAGGATTTTCATGTCTCTTGTGTCAATGGAACCACAAAGTGCTGTGTGGTTAATTTAGCTGCCTTTCTCCTCTTTTCCCCTTCTTTCTTGTGCTTTATGAATCAAATTCGTAAATGCAGTGAGTAAGGCTGACTTGCCCCTCTGTGAATTTAGGCCTGTGTATCGCTAATGCCTTGATACTTTTACTCTCAGCTTGTAAAGAAGATCCTGCACCTGGAGCTGAGTGGAGAGTAGTCCAGATGGGAGGGAATCATTGTCTGAGCTGTTTACCCTTTCTCCCAGCATCTAACACCATGTCGGACACAGTTGGCTCGCAGTAAATGGTTGCAATTTGATGAATGGATGGATGAATGAATGAGTGGAGTCCCTATTCTCTATCAGTTGTTCTTTCCATTTTGGGGTTGGGGTGCCTCTTGAAATGGAGAAGCTGTTGTCATGTTCACCTGGACAGGGTGTATCAAGATGGAGGTATGGAAAATCCCTTTCTCTCAATTCAGCTAAGACAACATTAGCATTTTTGAGAAGCACCCTTTTCTTGTAAATGAGTGCAGGCAGGATAAACAGAGAGGACTGAAATGGGTTATAGATTTGCAACTCAACTCCCCTGCAATCTGGCAACAGGTTAGCTTGTCCAGTGTTGCTTTGAGGTCTCCAGCCCAGGCCCCCTTTTCTCACCACTTCCTTCTCTGAGCTAAGTTGAACAAAGGTTCTCAGCTTACCAGCCTGAGGTGGGTTGGACTAGCAGGTTCCCAGGCCTTGTGGGATGCCCAGTTACCCTACTCTAGAAGGTAGCTTGCTTCCTCACGTTGTAGCTGTGATTCCTTCTCGGACTGCATGCCAACCTGCAATAACTTTGGTGGTGGTGGTGGTTAATTAAAAATATTTTAAATTGCTTTTGAATAAGATTGTATTGACATGGTACAAAAATTTAAAATATGTAATAAGAGATACAGTGAAGATTCTCCTGCCCCTCTGCCCCAGAAGTTCCCATTCCTTCCTTCCCAAAGATATTTATTATATTTGAGATATTTAGGAGCTCTGGTGGCATAGTGCCTAAGGCATTTGACTGCTAACCAGAAAGCCTGGTGTTTCAAACCCACCAGCCACTCCTCGGAAGGAAGACAGGGCAATCTACTTCCGTAGAGATAGCATAGCACCTCAGAAAACCAAGGAAGGGTTGCTATGGGTCAAATCCAACTTGACAGCAGTGAGGTTTAGTGAGTTATTATATATTTATTATAACAACAGTTTGTTGTTTATTGTTTCCTTATGCATACTTAAGCTATATGAATATGCATTCTTATTTTTCTCCCCCCTTTTCACAAGGAAGCAGCTCTGATCACAGTTATTGCATTCATACAGGTTCCTCCATTTTGCTCCAGGAGGGATCCTCTAGCTCTTGGTCTTGAAGACTACCCATACCCCTGATCAAGTTCTCTTCCCATTCTGCCTGAAACATCTTCATGAATGGAGTGTTTTCCCAGCACGGGTTCCTCAGAACACCAACTCCATGGATATTATTCATTCTCATAGCCATGTTAGTCCCTCAACAGCTCGAAGGAAATGCTTGGCAAACTCTGTTCTCAGTAACCCATTATTGTTGTTAGCTGCCATTAAGTTAGCCCCTAACTCATGGCAACCCATGGACAGTGGAACAAAACGTTGCTCAGTCCTGCACCATCCCCATGGTCAGATACAGATTGGACTCTTGTGATCCATAGGGTTTTCACTGGTTGATTTTCAGAAGTAGCTTGCCAGGCCTTTCTTCTTAGTCTTAGTATAGAAACTCATAGCAACGTACAAATCTCCATTGAGAGATGGGTGGTGGGTGTGCATGAGGTCCATTCACTGTGAATTGAGTCCAGGTGTAAGGCATGGAAGGCAAGAATTCTACCACTGAACCACCCTGTGCCTCAGCCCATTATTAAACCAAAAAAACCAAACTCACTGCTGTCGAGTCGGATCCGACTCATAGCAACCCCTCCTTGGGTTTCCGAGGCAATATCACTACGGAAGTAGATTGTCCAGCCTTCCTTCTGAGGAGTGGCTGGTGGGTGTGAACCACCAGCCTTCTGGTTAGCAGACAAGTGCCTTAGGCATTATGCTACCAGAGCTCCTCACCCCATTATTAGGACTTGAGAAATACCCTCTAACAAAGTCCTCATGGCCACTGGGAAGTCTCAAACCCATAGGTGGAGAAGCCACGTTTTGTTGAATAGTGGAAAAACAAGGCTATTATCAGGACTTGTTTTTCTACTTTTTGACAAAGTATGGCTTCTCTGCCTATGGCTTTGAGACTTCCCAGTGGCCACGAGGTCTTTGTTAGGGGCGTTTCTCCCTCCAGTGGTCAGAAGCAGACTCCCTGACTTCCCATTTCAAAGCCTGAAGTTGGGGCTGCCCACTAGGTTTCTGTTTCCTGTCAGAGAGGTGCCTCCAGCCATCTGTTACCCGGCAGCTCTGACCACGATGCTGTCAGCCCAGTGACTGATGAAGGCTTCCCTAGCTCTGACCAGATCTGCCCACATCTGGACAGTGGTGTCAAGGGGGTGGCCCTCTAGGAGCCTATCATTAAAGTCATTAAATCGGATCACAAAATACAGTATTTACAACAGACACATTTTCTATGTTGGGAAAAAGGAAGATCCTTTCCTTCTCTGTGCATTTTTGTAGCTTTCCAAAGCTCTTTCTGGTACAGAAACTTACATCATGGATGTTTCTCTCATCTCCTATCTCAGTCCTGTTCTGTCTGTGTTCTGCACCAAACGTATCTTGCTGTAACCTCCTGTTTATCCTTCAGCGATATGTGCAACCATGTTTGGGGGAGTTAGTACCCAGCAGGGGTTGTCAGAAGCTTGAACATTTGCTCCTTAATAACCATAGCTGGTGAGATGTGTAAATGAAACCATTTGAAGCCACGAAAGAGTTTACTCCCTGGGGGACTCACTGGATCTGGGGAGCCAGTTATTCTTGTTTTTAGCTCCCTCACCTTGTTTGGATAAAATTAAAGAGCCTTAGGGATGTCTCCATTATTTGTCACAGGGAGTAGGACATCTGCGGCCCAAATCCCCTGTTTCTTCTTTTTATTTTTCAGCACTTAAATCTTTGCAATAATCTCATGAGTGCATTTATTAACATGCTTATTATCCACCACCTCCCTCAAGAATAGGAACTCTGGTGGCATAGTGCCTAAGGCATTTGAACCAGAAAGCTGGTGGTTCAAACCCACCAGCCGCTCCTCAGAAGGAAGATTGGGCAATCTACTTCCGTAGTGATACTGCCTTGGAAACCCAAGGAGGGGTCACTGTAAGTCGGATCTGACTCCACGGCAGTGCATTGCGTTGTTGTCCCTGAAGAATAGAAACTCCATGATGCCAGAGACCTTGTCCTCTTGTTCACCTTTGTATTCTTAGTAGTAGGAATAAGGCCTGGCACATAAAAGGCAGCTCAATAAATATTTGTTGCCTGAATAAAAATCTATCTATTCTCTAACCTGCGGTTCCCTCTGAAGGACTGCCTCATTTCTTCGAGGGCAAGTGGTAAGGCCACTTAAAGTGTGACACCAAGTTGAATTTCAAGTCTCGGCATCTTTGATGGACTTGGAGGAGAGAGGCTTTTACGCTGGTAAAAGATGTTAAACTGGCAGAGGGTCTGGGTTCAAATACTAGCTCTGCTGTTGACTTATTTTGGGGACCTCTCTGAGCCTCAATTTCTTCTTCCGTACAGAAGGGGTAATAGTTGTTCCCCAACACTGTGTAATCCTTGATTGAAGAAAGCAAATGAGATCATGGGTGGGAAAAATGCTTTTTAAACAATAAAACCCACTGCCATCGAGTTGATTCTGCCTCATAGCAACCCCCACTGGATTTCCGTAAATCTTGACAGAAATAGATTGCCTCATCTTCCTCCCGGCGAGTAGCTAGTGGGTTTAAATCGTCAACCTTCTGGTTAGCATCCAAATTCTGAAACAATAAAGTGCTCTGAAAGTGAAGAGGATTAAAAAGTATGGTCTTCCTGACCCTTGCTTTCCTTACCTTACATACCGCCGGGCTCCCTGGCCTGTCCCTACCAACTCTGTTAGAATTAGAATCTCCCCCGGCTGCCTCTTCAGGTGTTGCCTTTGTGGAGTAAACTAGGGCAGTCCCTTTCTAGGATTTCCATCTGCCTGATGCCCTAATAACATTGAGCTGGGGGACAGGGTAACCCTACTCCCCTCTTACAGCTGACCTCTGTGTTTCGGGTAAGCACTCACCGCTGTTGGTGGCCTAATCACCACCAGCTGTACCATCCGTATTTCTCTCTCCCTAGGCGGCTGCTGAAGAGTGAACTTGGATCGTTCATTACAGACTATTTCCAGGTAAGCTGTGTGAGTCAGAGCATCAGTCACTACTTTGCATGTTGGTACATGTACCTAAGGGAATGGCCATTACTGTACAGCTGGGCAGTCCTTCAACACTCACAGTTGCAGATACCGAGCCATTGCTGTGTACTGGGCAGTCCGTAGGACAGCCACTGCAGAGGAACTACAAAACATGTGTGGTCCCTGCTCTCACAGAGATTGCGGTCTCCTGCAGCTGTTCTCAGGTCTTTTGGTTTCAGGAACCCTTTACACTCTTATAAAAGTATTGTTTATTGGGGCTATGTTTATCCATCTTCATGGTATTAGAAATTTAATAATATGTCATGTGGTGGTGGTGGCTATGTGCTGTTGAGTCGTTTCTGACTCATAGCAACCCCTCCTTGGATTTCCGAGGTGGTATCTCTAAGGAAGTAGATTGCCCAGTTTTCTTCTAAGGAGTGGTTGGTTCTTCTAAGGAGTGGGTTTGAACCACCAACCTTCTAGTTAGCAGTCAAGTGTCTTAGGCATTATACCACCGGAGCTCCCAATAATATGTCATAATCCATTTAAATGATAAACCCATTGCATATTAATATAATAACATTTTTATGACATAAATTTTTTGAAAAATGATGAGAAAGGTGGCATTATCTATTTTTGACAATCTTTGTAGTGTAGCTTAGTAGAAGATAGCTTGGGTCTCATATCCGCTTCTGCACCTAACCCTTTGTCATTTTGCACATCCTGTGGTCTCTGGAGACTGAGTAAAAAGGCACATATCAATTTAGTGTATTAAGAAAACAATTTTGACCATTTGGATCCCTTGAAAGGGTTTGGACGATCCTAGACCACACGTCAAGAACTGCTGCTCTAATGGAACCCCTCCCCTTGCATGATGTATGGTATTTCATTGATGTAATTATGTGTGTCCTTTAGCCAAGCTGTTTCTTGTCAGTAGGTCTCCTGATTGGTTCTGTTAAAGCCAGGATTGGATCAGATGATGTAATATCCCTTCCGCCTAAGCACCATTCTTATAGGGCTAATGAGTAAGTTCCAGGTCCAATGACAGGATGTTTCTAATCTATGAACACAAGCTGAGTTCCTGACTCTAACCAAAGGCATATGGGAGGAAGGCATTGGCAGGTGTTGAATGACAATCATTATATGATTGGATGACACTATAGTGTAGGGAAGTCAGGAGTCCCAGCTTTTCACTTGCCGTTGAGTGGCCTCAGGCCAGCTGCCTTACTTCTTATGCGTTGGTTTCTTCACCTATAACTCAGAATAAAAATAAGACCTACCTCATAAGGCCATTGAGTGGTTTACATGAAATAACACACATAAAGCACTCAAAACTTAATGCTTAGTCGGGGCCAACACAAACTAATGGTCAAGACCATGGGGCTTTGACCCAGACTACCTGAGTTCAAAGCCCAGCATAGCTATTTAACTAGCTGTGTGACCTTGAGCAAATAGCTTTACCTCTCTGTATTTCAGTTTCCTGTTCCGTAAAGCAGGGTAGTAGGACCTAACCTCATGGGATTTTTGTGAAGATTAAATAAGTTATTATAGGTAAAATGCTTTCAACCGTTGCTGGTATAGAGTCAGTGCTATTTAAGCCAGTTAACCAGTTACCATCAAGTTGATTCTGACTCCTGGTGACCCACGTGCGTCACAGTAGAGTGGTGCTCCATATGGCTGTCAGTGGTTGATTTTTCAGAAGTAAATCTCAGGTCTTTCTTCTGAGGCACCCCTGGGTGGATTCAAACCTCTGACCTTTTGGTTAATGGTGAGTATGTTAACATTTTGCAACACCCAGGGACTCTTGGGCAATCTACTTTTTTAGAGATACTGCCTCAGAAACCCAAGGTGGGTCGCTACGAGTCAGGATCGACTCGATGGCAGTGAGTTTGTTTTTCTTGGTTTTTTTGGGGGGGAACCCTTAAGGACTATTTAAATGTTTATTAAATTTATGTGTGTGTGCATAGTATTGTTCTAAAGTATAACCTGTTCTTTCAATAGAAAAGTAACCTAAAAATGCGTAACATTTTGGTTAGAAGTTGGTGATATTATCCAATGTCCAGGCAGAGCATATTTTTAAGATACTTTTAAAAGATAACAATTTGGGCATCATTTTATTTTATTTTTTCTTTTTAAGATTGAGGAAGCTTACATTTTATGTGCACTTCAAATGAATGCTAAATGTCAGCTTTTGTTTTTGTTTTTAAATAAACAAACAAAAAATAGTTACTCTAAATCTGGACAAACTATGACCCAGCAGTGGCCTGGAATTCAATCTGGTTACAGTATCTCAGCTGCTTGAAAGAAAGCTCCTGTCCAGGGAGAAACAAACAGATTAAGAAAGAGATCATTAGTCACAAATGTGAATCATTCCAGTTCCCCTGGACTCAAAGGTCAGTCTCACCCTCGCTCTTCTCTTGCTGTCTCTAGTGGTTGATTTTGAATCCATCTGCAGAGAAGTGGTTTTTCAATCAGTCCTGGAGAAACCTGCTGGGCTGGGCAGTCTTCCTCCTTGACATTTAAAATAATAGACAAGAGTTTGGTGTGGTTTCAATGAGCTTTTAAATGTCACTCTTCTCTTGGTGTTGGGGCTACCCCTGGAGGGTTGGGGAAGGGTGTCTGGGTGGGGACTTGTTTGTCTGGGAAGCCCTGAGGTTTGTGGGGGCAGTGAATGCTGCTTACAGAGCCTGCCAGACACTTCAGAACTAGTAACGTGTCATTTTCTATTGGAAGCATAATCAGAGAAACTGCCCGTGGGAGATGGAGTCTCTGTGGGGGTGTGGTGTGGGGACTAGTTTTCACAGTTTTGACTTGGGTTTTTCCTTAATTTAAGATGTTAGACAGGAAAGAAGTCTATCCTAGACACTGCTGTTTAAAATGTAGATTTTAAGTTTCATCAGGGCCCCAAGGCCTCCCCTTTGTTAATCTATTTGATTCTCTATTATATTCTCAGGGCCTAGAAAGTATCTGCCGGTAGTAGATGCTTAATACACTTTTTTTTTTTCCTTTTTATTGTGATTTGGGTGAATCTTTACAGAACAAATTGGTTTTCCATTCAACAATTCATGCACATGTTGATTTGTGACATTGACTGCAATCCCCACAAAGTAACAGATTCCTCCCGCTTCCTTCCTATGTTTACCATTTCCATCCGGTCTTCTTTCCTATCCCTTCCTGCCCTCTGAGATTTATACCTGGGCATAGGCTGCCCTTGTGATCTCCTGTGGTTGGTTGCTCAGGGAGTGTGTACCTTCCTGGTGTTACTGTTCACTTTACAGGCCTATCCTTTGGCTAAAAGTTGAGCCACTAGGATGAATTCAGATCCAGGCTTGAAAAGTGTATAAGGGCCCTAATCTCAGGGGTTCTGCCAGTCTCTATCAGACCAGTAAGCCTGGCCTTTATGATTTTGAGTTGTGCTCCACATTTTTTTTCCACTCTACCCGGGACCTCCTGTTGTGATCCCTTTCAGAGCCAGTTGGCAGTGATAGCCACGTGCCATGTAGTTCTTCTGGTCTCAGGGTTGTGGAAGTGGGAGTCACATGGTTAATGAGTATTCTTGGGAGAGAGGCAGAGATATGGAGGGAGGGGTTGTCTACCACAGATAACCAAGATGATCTTAGGTGGTTGTATCCGTTGCCAGTAAATAACGTTAGACCTTGTGTTAGAAAGTATTTCTCTTTCTTGTTTTCCTTTAGTCAATCTGAGTGCATAGAGGGGAGTCTTGGTTTCCGATTCTCCAGTACTGGCGATCTCCCTTTTCAGGAAGGGGAAACAGCCTCATACCTAATGTCTTTAGCTAGGGATACTGTCCAATTAGAATTGCAAAGCACTGTTTTGCTTTCATTGAGTTGATCGTTGAGTTACATTCTATTTTGGCAAGTTGTACTGGTATACTTTCCTTTTTAAACATCTTTACATTTCTTAAAAGTGGGTTGATTTAAGAAAAATACTGTGGAAAGATAGAGAGAATAGATGGCCCTGGCTGTGGCCCACATTATGATGGTGATTCAAGAATGATTTGGGTTTGGAAAGCCTAGTGCTGGGCACTGCTTGATAATGGGTTGGTTCCAAACCCATTCACTTCACAGAGGAAATATCAGAAAGATGAGGGAAATCTAGAGAGGGAAGCCTTAGAGAGGAGAACTTAGCCTCCGTGTTCAGTGGTCAGATGCAGTTTCAAGAGGGTAATTTAGAAAGGGTTGCAGGAGGTGTATTCTTCCAGCAAGGAGGGGGAGGAAAGTTTAGGGCTAAATAAGGGACAGATCCCAGGGGTGGAATGATGAGACACCAAAATTAAAGATATGATTGTTCTGAGAGGTGAAGGCCACTTGAGCTCCTTGGGCCCTGGGCTCCTTAATGCAGAAGAATCAGTTGGTCACCTCTTCCTGCTGTTGTTAGCTGCCACCAAAGGCAGCCCTTAACTCAGGGCCACCCCATGCCCAACAGAAGAGAACACTGCCCAGGCCTGCACCATCCACATGAGCGTTTGCAGATCAGATCAGTGTGATCCATTGGGATCTCAATGGCTGGTATTTGGAAGTAGATTGTCATGTCTTTCTTCCTAGTCTGCCTTACTCTGGAAGCTCCCTGAGACCTGTTCAGCATCATAACAATTTGCAAGCCTTCACTGACAGTAAGTGGCTGCATATGAAGTGCACTGACCAGGAATTGAACTAGGGTCTCCAGAATGAAAGGCAGGAATTCTACCACTGAGCTACCAATGCCTCCTTGACTGCCCGTGTTCAGTGGAGAAGTACATCCTCTCCTACGACTCAGACCTCGCCTCTTGTAAAGCCATCCCTGTGGTTTTCTCTCTGAAAATGAACATTTTCTTTCTACTGCTTTAAAGACCAACTCACAGAAAGAATATCCTCAGTGAAGAATAATGAAAGTGACCTGAGGTGAGGGCAGGGGAAAGTAGGTGGAAAAACAGTGCTTATCTTGTGTCTGCACACAGAGAAGACAGATGGTTTGATCTGCAGAAGCATAGATAGATT